ATTAGCGTCATCGCTAACGGCTACACAAAGCGGTAGACCCGCGCACCGCACACACACACACACGGGGGCATTCTCGTTGCCTCTTCAGAACGTTGCAGGAAATACGAATCACTGATGCATTCTGTTCATGTCTTATGATAAACTGGGTCAAATTAATTAATGTAATAAATGTTGTTACTTCCCTACTAAGTTTGTTGAATTCAGTTTTAATGTCTAGATTCCTTGATTCTGTCCGCGTTCTCTGTATCGTGGATTTTATAGGGCCCTAAGCATTAAATTGTGTTTTATAACAATACTCCAACTCCTCCCTACTGACTCTACAGCCTGGCTAGAACACACTATTATACAGCACTGACTGCCCTTAAAATACTGCAGGTTGACGTATATTGTCATGAGTCTTGTCCTGGAGGCAGAACTGAGCGATTTCCCCTTAGATAGGCCAGCTGCAAAGTCAAAATTGGCTATATTGTAAAGATTCATGTAAACAAAAATGAATTTAAGGTTAGAGTTAGGCATTAGGGTTAGCAGTGTGGTTAGGTTTAGGAGGGAGGTAGCTTAGTGGGCGGCAGGTAGCTTAGTGGTTAAGAGCGTTGTGCCAGTAACCGAAAGGGCGCTAGTTCTAATCCCCGAGCCGACTAGGTGAAAAATCTCCCGATGTGCCCTTGAGCAAGGCACTTAACCCTAATTGCTCCTGTAAGTCGCTCTGGATAAGTATGTAAATGTTTAAAATCTGATTTTATGACTTTGTGGCTGTGCCAGCTAAGTGACCAGAGCTGCCCCCAAAACAAGATTCATGACAAAAAAACACTGAAAGTTTAACTTTAGTTTACCAGTCATGTTGACCACCTCATCACACACTGTTGTGTGTTGACAAGTGTGTGTTTACCGGTCCGGTGTGACCTGTACTGCAGAGGCTGTATCATTAGGATGGAGAGAGGCCAAGCAGAGAGTACAGGATAGTCTTAGTGAGAGAAACACATGGGGACACACACACACAGAGATGTGGACCTGCACACACACGTATAACACCCTCACACAATGCAGGAAATTGATTTCCGTTGAACACAGGGAGATCAAAGGACTCATTATAATTGGCGTGTAAGTGCTGTGGAGCACCCCGACAGACAGAGAGACACACACACACAAACACTTTTAAATAAAGACACATACGTAAATGTTCAAAATATACTTATAGCTCAGCAGGCCAAAGGCCATAGGGAAAAAATTGTGAGAAAGATGTGAGAACTTTATTGCCACCCCTTTCAATGTCGGCTGTGTGTGTGTGTGACTAGCAGGGATCAGAGCGGGTAGTGTGAGCCTCAGCACGCCACGACTTGCCATCCGGTAACCGTGGTAATGAAGTAGGTCGCTTTATTCATCGTGGTGCGGCGAGGGGGCGTCGCCAGCGCCGGCTGGTGGGGTGTCACTGAGCGTGCTCCGTAGGGGGTAGGATAATCTCCACGGAGACAGAAACCAGGCCGCTGTGCTGCTCAGGTGTGCCACAAACAAATGAACGAGGGAGGGAGGGAGGGAGAGGAAGAGAGGAGGAGGATGAAAGGAGAGGAGAACATATGCAGGCATCACCATGCCTTGAGACATCTTGAGACTTGTATTGGAAAAGTAGATGAGAAGGAAATTGAGACGAGGGAGGTGGATGGAGGGGAGGGAGGAGAGGGCTGGTTTAGGAAACTAAGGGTTATTAAAATCATCACCATATTAAGAGGATGAATCTGCTTCCGGCCCTTTCGCTCTCACTTCCATTTTAACCACTACTGTAACATCCCCTATCCTACTCTTCCTCTATCATCATATATGTTTTCTGTTCTCTGCCTCCTTCCATCACTGTCACTCCTCCTTCCTGTCCCCTCCTTCCATATCCTCCCTGCTTCCATCCCTATCCTTCCTCCTTTCCTATCCTCCCTCCTTCCCCATCCCTATCCTCCTCACTTATCAGCCTCCCTCCTTTCCATCCCCTACTGCCCCCTTCCTATCCCCGTACCTCCCTCCTTTCCTATATCACCTATCCTCCTCCTTTCCTTCCCCTATCGCTCCTCCTTTCCTACCTACCCCCTCCTTTCCTATCCCCTGTCCTCCCTCTTCCTGATCCTGTCTCCCTCCTTCCTCCATCCCTTCCTCCCATCCTCCTGTCCTCTCCACCTCCTGCCATCCCTGATCCTCCCTCCTAATCCTCATTAAGGTAATCAATACACATAACAATATAGCCGTATCTACCCCTTCAAATAGACAGACCTACTATGCATAACATAAGTCCTACATCCTTTACTATACAATCCATTTCCTATCCTGCCCTCCCTCCTTCCCTATCCCGTTCTCTCGCTTTTCCCTATCCCGTTCTCTCGCTTTTCCCTATCCTCTGTCCTCCCTCCTTCCCCCTGTCCTCCCTCCCGCTATTCTCTCTCCCCCTCCATCTCTTTCCTGCTAATTGGCCTATCTGAGGTGCAGACATCAAAAGGCCCCTGTTATCAAACACTGTGCTAGCTTGTGCCAGAAAAGGAAGAACAGAAAAATAAAAACAGGGGGGGGGGGGACACTGAAGAGAGCAAGAGAAGAGAGGAATATTCAAGAAAACGAACGGACACAATCACTTAAAAAGGGCAGAAATTAGAGCCAGAATCACACACACACACTTCAGGGAGAACAGTGAGATATGGGTTTATAGAGGCACCACACATCCACTTCATCAACTAACTATACACATAAAAGCAGTTTTACACTGTTTATTTCAAACAAACAAACTAGTAACTCAGAAAGCTGCCAACAACTGATGGTAAAAGATAAATATTCCAAACAGCTAGCAAGAAAGAACAAGAGTGTAGGGGTGAGAAGGTTTAAACAAAGTTGGGATCCTTAACTTTAAGAAAAATCCCTAGGTGAAAAACAATGTTTTTTCCCCCTCACAGAATTCAAATCCCAGTGCAGTTACCAAACAACTTTTCCGTGTTATAGCCTAACTCGACGGTAGGCTATAAAGGCCTGGGGAAAGTTGTGTAAATTAAATAAAACCAGAGGTGAACTGTAGGCTACTTTGGTGAATTTGTGAGAAATGCAAGACAGGACATTGCGAGATACAGATTACATTTACATTTTAGTCATTTAGCAGACGCTCTTATCCAGAGCATTTTTTAAATTATTTTTTTAATACTGGAATCGAACCCACAACCTTGGCGTTGCAAATGCCATGCTCTACCAACTGAGCTACATCCCTGCCGACCATTCCCTCCCCTACTCTGGACGACGCTGGGCCAATTGTGCGCCGCCCCATGGGTCTCCTGGTCGCGGCCGGCTACGACAGAGCCTGGATTCGAACCAGGATCTCTAGTGGCACAGCTACTAGAGTCCAAGACATGCTTGCGGCCTGCCGCCTCCTCTCGCTCCCCTGCTCTTGCACTTCGCCAGAGATCTGTATATAATGACGAGATGCTCATGTCTCCGCCCTAACAATGGGAGTTGTTGTCCCAAAGGCGGGAATGCAGGTGACAAGCTTGCCCTCCCACTAAGTTAAGTATAACTATAAGAAATGAAATAAATTATGTTCAGCTCAGGGCTCCAGCTATGCATTTGGTTTGCTAACTTGCTAGCTAAGTGGCTAGATGTCAAGATCAAGCTTCTTGGTTACAGCAGAGACATTCAATCCCCTCCTGGGTCAAGATCCCTGTTGCCGAAATTGTTTTGTGCGTCAAATAGCGGCCCTTGTAATACACGTGGAATATATATTTGTAAATCGTATCGTTTTCACGGAAACCGGAAGAAAATGGCAGTTTAAACATTACAAATTGTTTCCGTTTGTCACATCCCTAGAGGAGAGAGAGAGCGATAGAGGGAGAAAATGAGAACCAACAAGCTATAGCGAGAGAGATAGAGGAGAGAGAGACAGATAAGGGCGGATGGCCAGCGAAGGCGCATGCAGCCCGAGGGCCCGTCACGTTCCATCAGCGCTGAGCACTGCCGCCGCACCCATGAGGTCATCAACCTGCGACCCAGCCCGCAGCACTGAGCGGGGGGTGTGAGTGTTTGCAGACAGCAGAGGAAAGGGGTCAGAGTGGGCTGACGGTGGCGTCGTTTCACTAGGCTGAGTAACGAGGGACGGGAGGAGGAGGAGGGCAAATGGAGCCGCTGCAGAGCCCCAGAAGCGAGGGATGTTTGTCAGCTTGTTTACATTGGTGGTATTGGAGTGGAGTGATGGGTAGAGGTGAGAGGTCAACCAATGGAACGAGGACTGGCTGCTTATCACAGTACACAACATGCAGGCTCTCGCACTAACAAACACACACCAGCAGAAGTAGGCAGTCAGAGGGAGTTGGAGCTATTGAAAAGGGCAGCGTGTGTTTACAGTCAGATATCAGAAAAGGTTATCAGACATCAAAATGGGACAGCCGTGTCTCAGCCAATCACGCAGAGGGACCAGAGGCACGCTAACGAATCACAGACTGACAGCAGACCTTAACCACTCCGTAGAGGTGAACGCTGATGGGACAGCTGACAACCTTGACATTTCAACAACTCGGACAGCCAGAGAGGGGGTGTGTGTGTGTGTGTGTGTGTGTGTGTGTGTGTGTACACGTTTGAGTGAATGTGTGTAGGACTATGTGCACGTGCGTAAGAGTGAGACAGAATGTGTGTGTTCTGATTGCATCGCAGCTGAAGGTCGGTTGAACAAGCGGGCACACACACACACACACACATTTTGTCCCTGAGGGTATTAGGCAGAGTATCCTAGCTGTAATGATGAATATGGAGCAGAGGAGCAGAAGGCTCAGTGACACAGGAACAAGGTGACAGAGGAGAAGCAGGACAGGTGGGAGTGTGTGTGTGGGTGTTGACAGTAGGACAGCACTCTGTGCCAGGACAGCAGGTGGCTAGTAACAGGGCACCAGTGACCTCCCACCCATCTCTTCCTCCTCTCTTCCCTCAGTCCATCTCTTCCTCCTCTCTTCCCGTGATCTCCCATTCCCTATCTCCTCTCGCATCCAGCTCACTTCCTACTTCTCTTCCCTCTGTCCATCTTCTTCCGAGCCTCTTCCCCATCTCTTCCCTCTTCTGCCATCTCTTCTCCCTCTACTTGCCTCTTTCCCTCGGTCCATCTCTCTCTTCCCTCTGTCCATCTCTTCCTCCTCTCTTCCCTCTGTCCATCTCTTCCTCCTCTTCTCCCTCCCTCCTTTCTTCTCTCATCCCCAAAACCCAATCCATCTCACCTAGGGAGCACACTGTCTCTTGGAGAATGAGACAACTCACAGCCAGAACGGACAAGCTCACTCATACACACTCACAAGCAGCAGTAGAGCTCTTTGGAACGCACACACACACACAACAGTCCTTGCACGCAACATAATGTATGTGTTCTTACCTTTGGAGGCTGTTGGATGGATGGAATGGACATGGAAAGCGGGTGGGGTGGGGTTGGGGGGGGGTGGGGGGGGGAGTGAGAGGGGTGAGGAGGTGAAAAAAAAAGAAGACAATCCTCATCAGTAAGCCAACTTTAGAGACACAAGCGCACTGCCGACAGGCACGGACACACGAGCAATGGTACACACGTGCACACACAGACACGTGCATGGGCTGACACTCACTCTTGGTCTGGGAGGAGAAGGCCAGGGTGAGTTTGGCAAAGAGCTCGTTGTTCTCATAGCGATCCTCTTTGGCCTTTGTCCAGAAACTGCACTCAGACAGATCCTCATATCCAATCTGTATAACAGGGAGGGAGAGAGAAAGAAAGAGGGGGGTAGTGAGAAAGATAAATGCCTTCTGAATCCTTTCATCCAATTTTGCAAAAAATTATTCATCCATCTATACAGCAATCAAGCGAGAGATGGACAGAGAAAGAAAGCAAGAAAGAGAAAAAGAGAACAAGAGAGCCGGGGTGCTAAAGGAGGTGTTGGAGAGAGACACAAAGAGGAGGAGAGGAAGGAGGACAGAAGTAGTCATTTTCCCTGATCCTCATTCTCCTCCACACAAAAGGCATTTGCTTCACACAACTAGCCGTGTCACACAGAGAGAGAGAGAGAGAGAAAGAGAGAGAGAAACAGAGAGGGAGAGAAAGGAATCCATTCCCTTTATCCTCCTCTCTCCCTCTCTTTTTTCCTCCATCGCTACAGCGCTCACTTTCTCTCTTTCAACCATCAACACCACCGCCTCACAATTAAGTGCCTTTTTTCCATCTCTCTCCCCCTTTGGTTCTCTCATCAAGGAGCAGAGCAAAGAAGAGAGAGAACGGGGAAGTGAGAGAGAGAGAGGAAAGAGAGGGAGGATCAGAGGAGAGGTAGTAACTTCACAGATATGAGCCTTTCATTACGAAAGATGCCTCTGGGAGGGGGTGTGGGGGTGAGGGAGGGGGAATGTGATACAGGGGCTGAAGGGCCGAGGAGGAAAAAAAAAAAATAGTAATTTAAATTACAAAAGAATGCTGTCCTTTCTAGCAGCAATTTAATTATCTTTCACCAGCGCAGTTAAAAGAAGCAGCCTTATTAAAAAGCAATTTCTGTGACATCCTCGTCAAAGGCCTCTCACCAACCCCGTCGAACGAACAGAGAGAACAGAGGGGGGGGAGAGAGAGACTAAACGCTGATGAACTCAGCTGAAGCCATTAAACAGTAGCTTTAGGCTAAAGAGAGACAGAGGGCCGTTTTGATGTTTTAACCATCGCAGATGAGAAGGAGGACGACAACATGGAACAGAGACACAATCACATACACGCATGTAGTCATACACACTCACAGTCACATATGGTCACAGTCTTAGTATTCACTCACACACACTGACAAGAACTAAGTTGTTGTTGTTGTTCTATTGACTCCTATGATTGGGCACACTAATAAAGGCTCATGCTCTCATGAAAAAGAAACCTGACTCACAAACACACATTCATTTTCTCGCTCACACCGTCACGCTCCCATCCTCACCTTGCTCCAGTTGGCTCTCTTCAGCTGCACCTCAGGCTTGTACTCCTTCTTGGGCGCCAGGCCGAAGGGCAGAGGGGGTGGCACAGGGGCTCCCCAGCCCCCCATACCAGGAGGCGGAGGGGGCATGCCCATGCCAGGTGCAGGAGGGGGTGGAGGGGGCATACCAGGACCACCAGGGAGGGGAGGAGGGGGAGGTGGCATACCGGGCATCCCAGGGAGAGGTGGGGGTGGTGGGGGACCGCACATCCCTGGTAGGGGTGGTGGTGGAGGGGGCCCGGGCATCCCAGGGAGAGGTGGGGGTGGTGGGGGACCGCACATCCCTGGTAGGGGTGGTGGTGGAGGGGGGCCGGGCATGCCCGGTAGAGGAGGTGCTTGAGGGGGGGAAGGGAGGAGTGCTTGGCCGGGTAGGGGAGGAGGAGGAGGGGGCATGTTAGCTTGCCCTGGGAGGGAAGGTGTGCCTGGGAGAGGGGGGGCAGTGGGTGGAGCAGGGCCAACTGGGACATGGACCGTGACAACTCTGGTCTTGGCCTCCTCCAGATCCTTACTGAGCTTCTCTATCTGGAGAGGGAAAGGGGGATGGAGAGACAGAGGATGGATAGAGGAAGAGAAAAATATATTAGTTAGAAGAGATTTACTTTACTGTACGAAAGTACTATACTACTAAACCATGAGAGAAGACATCATTTTCTGTCTTTCTAATGAGTGTGTGTGTGTGTGTGTGTGTGTGTGTGTGTGTGTGTGTGTGTGTGTGTGTGTGTGTGTGTGTGTGTGTGTGTGTGTATGTGTGTACGTGCGCTTGAGTGTGTGTCTGCCAACATGTTCTTGTGACTGAGGGACAGAGAATTGCTCCTCACTAAACTCTGGCTGTCCTTATGAGCATTCAGTCACATGAAGGGGTGGGCACAGCCTCATACGGGGGGAGAGTGAGAGATCTCTACATGTGAATAGTGTTGTCAAGATACCAGAATTTTTACTTTGATACCGATACCAGGTTTAGTATCACGATACTCGATACCATCGCGATACTCAATACCAAAACGACACCAGCCAAAGTCACAGAATGGCACTTTATTCAGACAGATAAACTCAGCTACTGCTCTGTTCAATGGTTGGGCATTTTTTGAGACAGCCATGTATAATGAATCAATTATACAAATCATAAAATCTATTTGACTTTATTTTTACCAATCTAACTACAAAACAAAAATATAAATAATTCATTTGAAAAGGTAAATTTCTATTGACAAACTGGGTAAATCAAGATGTAGCCTAGGTCTATTCACAATACAGGTGAATGCATATTATTCAATAGGAGTGTGTGCATGCATTGAGTTATTGAGCTTGTTTTAGATAATTTCATGGGTCTCCAGATGACAAACAATCCCTTTCATTTAAGACTTATTGTATTGGCAACTGCTAGGAGAATATATCAACAACATTTGCATAGAAGAAGCAATCTCTTTTTATAAAAGTATGCACTGTCTCTTTAAGAAAGTAATTACATTTGTGAGCCAGAACATGGCTGTGGAATCTGACTTTGTGGCTATGGAATCTACTGGAAACCAGACGGGAGGGCGAGGGAGACGAAGATAATTGATAAATATTTTTGTGACAATCAACTTTGAAATCAGCATATTTGTACATTTTAGTCATTTAGCAGACGCTCTTATCCAGAGCGACTTACAGTTAGTGAGTGCATACATTATTTTATTTATATTTTTCATACTGCCCCCCCCCGGGAATCGAACCCACAACCCTGGCGTTGCAAACGCCATGCTCTACCAACTGAGCTACATCCCTGCCGGCCATTCCCTCCCCTACCCTGGACGACGCTGGGCCAATTGTGTACCGCCCCATGGGTCTCCCGGTCGCGGCCGGCTACGACAGAGCCTGGATTCGAACCAGGGTCTCTAGTGGCACAGCTAGCACTGCGATGCAGTGCCTTAGACCACTGCACCACTCGGGAGGCCATATGTTGCGTTATGGTTTGCATATTATCACAAAGTACTAGGGTAGTGAACTGATGTTGCTTCAGCTGTAATCTAGCAAGGAAAGTTAGCCTGCAATTAAAGGTGGAAGCTACCGGTATCGTCTTGCATTGTAAAAATGTTCTAGCCTGTATGGACATTGTTTTGCGAACAGTAATGAACCGTTTCAACATTTCTCAATGCACTATTCAAGTGTGTTAACTTCTGTGTAGCATCAGCGGCAACCTATAAATGGAGGGGGGAGTCAATGATCTGTTGATGAGAGGGTCTTTGATATGTGTGTTGATGTGGGGACAAACAGTTGGACGTGTGTGAGAGACCATGAGATGATTCTGCTGGCCTCAGCCTGTTGGGGAAGGGACCTGTCCAGGTCTGTGTGGCTCCATCAGACACACACTTAAGAGGACAAACACACATGCACGTACACACACACACAGAGATGTGTGCAGATTGGTGTGTGTGGACTGGAGTGGGTTGTATGTGTCAGATGAGCTGTTCGGTACATGCTCTGTGTGTCACTATGAGGCAGGGTCCAGCTGGTGGACACTTCTCTTCCCTCGCTCTCTTCCTCCCTCCTTTCATCCTCCTCCTCCTCTCCCTCCCATCTCTCTTTGTGTCAGTTGAGTCTAACACTTTTTTTGAGCTACTTGCCGTTGAAGCGCTCATGACTTTCTCCTCTGTTCATATTGGTCAAGGGGAGTTTAGAGTGTTCTATTGTGCTCTTATTGCTAGAGTAATGTAAGTTTGAGCTCTGGTTTTCTGAGTGAGTGTGTACCTGCTCTTTCAACGTGTTGATCTGTCCCAGTAAGGTCTGGTTCTCGCTCTCTCTCTCCTGTTTCTCAGAGCCCAGAGTCTCCTTCTCAGCAGCCAGCTCCTGGACTCTGTGTTCATAGTCTCCCTCCATCTTCTTCAGCTCTACCTGCAGCTCATGGCGCGCCGTCAGCTCTGCATCCAGCTACAGGAAAGATAGTTAAGAGTCAGGCAACAAAATGTGTATAAAGGCTTGTTAAATGCACATAGCTCAATGTCCAGTTATTGAGCAACATGAGTTTACAGGGTTAAAACACACAGCTTAGTGTCCACTGAATTATTTGTTACTTTTATTTCGTATTTTTGTGTGATTTATTTTTTTGTATTCTTTCTTAAAACTGCATTGTTGGTTAAGGGCTTGTAAGTAAGCATTTCACTGTTGTATTCAGCGCATGTGACAAATAAAACTTGATTTGAAAAGAACACAAACACACGTTCTTAAATTCTCAAACATACGTTCACACACACAGCTGGTTTGGTTTAACTTGCAGACACTAGTTTTCCTCATCTTACTGACAGTCTCATCCCTAATCCTGCCAGCAACTACCCTATCAACCAACGTGTGTTTGGTCAGTGGCAGACACTGAGTGTGGTAGTCCATATTAGCATGGAATGGGTATGATTATGTGGGTTTGCATTTAATGGGACAGAATGCCAGCATGTGTACGTGCATGCGTGTGTGATGGGGATAGTTTAGTTTTAAAAAAAAATATTGGGGGGGGGGGGGGGGGGGGGGGGGCACCAGGGTAGAAACCTCCGCAATCACAGCACTTACCCCCTCATTGTGTGTGTGTGTGTGCGTGTGTTCTCCATCAGGAAGCGGTCAGGCATGCGTGTATTCATTCTCCTCTTTCTTATTTAGACTGGTAGTTATGTGTCAGGGAGAGATGAGCACGGAGAGAATCTCATTACAATCCTCTGTGTGTGTGTGTGTGTGTGTGTGTGTGTATTTCACCTTTTTCTCCAGCTCTATGGCCTTGGCCTCACTGGTCTGCACCTTGGTCTTGTCCACCATATTGTCTGTGGGGAGACAGAGAGAGGGATGAGAGTGCGAGTGCGTTCCAAACAGACCTGATCACGTCTCAGAGTTGAGGCATTGTGCCCTTCAGTCTGGCGCTCGTTCTCACACACATACGGCGCCCTTCACTCTGCCTGCGTATCCATCAGTCTGCCTTTCCTTATCACACTCCTCAAAGTGTCGATCTGAGAGTCGATTGCCCAGGCATCTCATTATGTAGTCTGATCCTATCTGTGGGGAGCTGACGCTACCCGTCTACACACACACACAACAGTCGCAGCCACACACCCACACAGAGACACCCACAGACACCCACCCACCCACACAGGTCTGCCAGGCTACAAAGGGGAAACACTCATCTTCTCATTTCTTTCCATTTTCATTCCCTTTTTTCCTTCGGTTTTTCATTTTCAACCCTGTCTAAAATAAAAAACAGAACTGAGAAACCGCCTCCAGGTGACGAAGGAAATAGGGATGGCATAATTACCGTATAATTTTGTAACCAACGTTTATGGATGAATAACAGTCATGAGCATTTAGAAAAACAAACTGCTGACTGAAGACAGGACAGCAGGGCATTTGTGCGGTTGAGTCCGTTTCCGTAGTTACATGGACTCTTTACAACGTGATGAAACTTTGTTTATCCTTGCTGAAACAAGCAAGTAATTGTAGCAAAGGAGTCTATAGTTGCCTAGGCAACAACCCCCTTCCAGCAGCAGCAAATGCATGTGCGTAAAAAAGAAATAAAAGACCAATAACCGTCATCCAGATTTCTATGACCGTCACAGCCCTAGACGGAACCTCTGACTGACCTATCAGGGTGGCTCAATAAGCAGGGGGTGGAGTCAAGGAATGTCTATTTGGCCAATAGGAGGGGGTTGTTGGTGGGACTGGAGTCTACAGGTGGTAAGGGGTCCCGGGGGTAGGCTGAGCATGTGCAGAAACGTATGCTTGGTGTCGAAGGGAAGGCTACATGGGGATTGGCCGAGAGAGCGCGACCAACAAGGCACAGCTCTCAGAGAAAGAGAGAGAGAGAAATAGAAAGAGAGAAAACAGGAAGAGAGAGATAAAATGGAGCGAGAGCGAGACTAATCCAGAAACAGCAGTAGAGAAAGAAAAAGTTGAGAAATGGAGAAAAATCCAAACAGGTAAAGAAAAGACAAGGAGAGAACGGTGAGAAAAAAGAGAAAGAATGATGAATAGAAAATAGTGGATGGGAGAGAAGAGAGAAAACACTAGCGAGGAGAGGGAGAAGTTGTGTTGTATGTGAGGGAGACTGTTGGAAGAGTGTGTTATGAGTCCACTCCGTCGTCAGATCCGGGCTAAATGGGACAAGCCTCTAATAGAAAAAACCTGTGTGCACAATTTCCAGAGTTCAAAGAAAAACACGAAATAATGCATGCAAGGCAGCAATGGGCTGCTTTCCACCGATAATAACAGCAACCTTAAAGGAGGCCAGCATGTGGGTACGCATTTAGAAGCAGTGCAATTAGAGCCTCCTGCAGAGAGAGAGAGAGAGAGAGAGAGAGAGAGAGAGAGATTGTAGACTGGAGCTGTGAGCTGAGACAGCAAGTTCCTTTGGTCTGATCAGGTGACTGAACAATAGAGGAACTCAACAATCACACCTGTTCCCCTTGTCTAGTTCCATGTTCTCTATGCACCAAGTCGTAAGACTACACCATGGTTACAATCACCTGAAATAATACGACCCCACCTCCGGAAAATGTACACATTCCCTCTCTGGTTCCCCCTTGTGGTAGCTGTAGAACAGCGTTCCGTGTGTGTGCGTGGATGTGTGCAAGGCACTCTATGGAGTGTGTGTCTCTTACCAATTAACCCCTCAACATCCAGGCTGAGATTGCGGCACTTGAAGTCTGGGTCGGCTCCGTTCCTGTGCAACACGATCTGAGCTATACATTCATCTATCAGCTTGTAGTACTGGGGCCTGGAAGACAGAGCGAGAGAATCAATGTAATTGTGGCCGTGTGTGTGTGTGTGTGTGTGTGTGTGTGTGTGTGTGTGTGTGTGTGGAAGACAGTGAAATTTGAGAGCAAGAAAAAGAGTGTGAAATTCAATTGAACGTAAATCTGGGAGATGGATGGAATAGGAAGAGAAACAAAGAGACGGAGAGAGACCGAGAAAGAGAATGTGTGGGTATATACAGATCAAAAACGCGTGGGACAATGTCTGGGCCAGTGTGTGCATACATGCATTCAAGTGTGTGCCTGAGTGAATGGGAGCGCAGGTGTCCATATGAAGCTGTGAAAATAGGAGTGGCGCCTTTTCTTTATATCAAGGTGTAGGAGTGTGTCAGTGTGTGTGTGTCAGTGTGTGTGTGTGTGTGTCAGTGTGTGTTCTGCTCCACACTCCTTGTCTGATGTCGTTGGTTTCACACAGACACTCAATTTTGGAGGTGTCTGATTTTGTGACCCAATGTGATGCTCCAGTCAAAAACTCAATACTTTATTTATTCCCCAACTCTAGCACTCTACCCCCTACCTTTTCTCTCTCTCCTCCATTTCACCATTTCTTTTTTACAAACTCAGATTTAAATTGGTGGAGCGAGAGAGACATCTAGTGTCTGTTTCTAAAAACAAACTAGGAAAAATATATTCCTAAAATCCCTGATAACCTTGTAATTAGTGCTGTTGTCATGAAAGCGCATCCTATACTTAAGCAAACTTAGGTTTATTGACTTGTGATTGGTCAATAAAGGTATCGATATCTTGCCAGCTGTCTCATGTGAGATGTCCTTCCCTCTGCCTGTGTGTCATAGTCCTTCACTGTTGGCCATTCTCATCATTCCTTTCCCTGTTCAGACAGTGTGTAACTCAAGGATAGATTGAACCATGTAGTGGAGAGTGAAACCGAGTGTTTTGTTCCCAGCCTAACATCATTCCTCTATAGCCAACCCCTCTCGCTCTCTTTCTCTCCCTCTAATTTCCATGCTAGCATCTCTTTCTCCCTCGCTCTCTCCCCCACCATGTCTCTTGCTCTATAATTTCCAATTTCTCCCTCCCTCTCTTTCCTCCCTCCCTCCCTCCGTCTCTCAGGACTCCATTATGGTCCAGCTCCATTGTGTGATGGCGTATGACCTGGAGGGGAAATGGGGGAGAGAGGGAGGAGAACCACTCTATTCAGCCAAGGCCATTACAGTAAGGCAGGGAGAGAGAGAGACAGAGAGAGAAAAAGACAGGGGAAAGAGAGAGGGATTAGCGGGAGGGGGGGGGGGGAGGGGGGTCAGACACTGCTACATGGGGAGGTCAGGTCCACATCCAGGGGTGAGGGTGGAGGCTGGAGGGGGCTGTCATTGCATTGTAAACCCTCCATGACTCATACGATTATTACCTCTCGCTCTCCCCTCCCTCCTCCCAGCGCCACTACAATTTCCTGCCTGTCAGAATCCATTCTAGGAACACTGGACCGGCAACAATACTGAAATCTCAACTCAGATCTGTGTGTAACTGAGTGATTCTAGGAAATTGCAGCTGTAAAATGTACTGTTCCTAGAAATGTACCCTGAAAATAAGGAAATAACTGTGTGTGTTTGTCGCATACCCCTATAGCGTATTCTCTCCTCTCTTTTCCTCTTTCATTCCACCCTCGATGTTCTCTCTTTCCCTCGCCCTACCCCTCTCTCCACAGTGAAAGCTCACTGGCTTTGGATGCATTAGCATATTTATGGAGATAGGAGGAGACTCTGCTCATTTCTATTAAAATCTCTTTTGCATGTATTAATTTCACAGCTTTGAAATGACGCACTGAGAAAACAAACAGAGGGAATGGAGAGAAAAAGCAGAGAGAGATAGAGCGGAAAGGGGGAAAGAGAAGAGGTCCAGAGAGATCCAGAAACAGTTGTAGAAAAAGCAGAGAGAGATAGAGCGGAAAGGGGGAAAGAGAAGAGGTCCAGAGAGATCCAGAAAAAGTTGTAGAAAAAGGAGAGAGATAGAGCGGAAAGGAAGTGAGTGAGTGAGTGAGTAAGAGAGAGAGAAATCCAGAAACAGTAGCAGAGAAAGAGGCGAGAGAGCTGCAATAGGTGGCCTCCAGGTCATCACAACAACAATATATATTCTGAGTCACATGGTAGTAGAGCGGAGAACAAAAGGCAAGGGTCAGGGTCAAAGGGTAAAGGTTGTGAGATCATGGGGAGTGGAAGAGGTCTAAACTTCTTTCACTGTTTCTAGGCATTTACAGTCAATGCTGAAGTGACCGTTGTGGTTTTAACCTAACCGTGATTGTAATGCAGGTGCGTGTGATATTATGTCCCTTACCTGACCATGTAGTCATTGCGAACCAGCAGCAGGTGCTGCATCAGAGATAGGAAGTGTGTTTCAGCCTTGGAGTCTTTGACCGTGTTCATCAGGATCTGGAACACCTCCATCACGTCAGTACGACCGCACGGTTAAGGACCACAACCTCAAGTTGTGAGAGCGGTCAAATAGGAACACTTGTAAATCCACAGCATCATCAACGCACTGAATCATTCTGCTCCTACTACTAAGATATACTATTTTGTTTAGAGGCAACCCAATCTACAGTAACATAGATCCAATATAGTTTACTACCACTGTATATGCAGTAGTCATTGTGTTATATTGTGATGGATATGCAGCAAATATATACAACTCTGTTAATGATTGGTGTCAGTATCTGATCAAATGCTAAATAGCTTCCTGATCAGTTTATTACTGTGATCAAATGTATCTCAGTCATGATGATCAGAGCCAAAGCAATCAACACGGTAAAATAAAAGCACTGTAGAAATCCTTGTGCTTTTGTGTGAGAAACTATTATGGCACCTTGGAGCCACCTGGTGGTGAAATATAGGAATGCACGTTAGAAGACAACAGTGACCTTGGACTGGTAGGTTGCACCCTATTCCCTATATAGTGTACTACCCTATAGACCATGATCAACAGTAGCGCACTATATAGGGAATAGAGTACAATTTGAGACACAGCCAACTATAAACTCGTATCACTTTAACATCTGAACCAAAGTAACTTGCCCTTCATAGAGGGACTTTTTGAGCCTCTCTGAGGTGGAAGGATATTCCATCTCGATGCGCACGTCGTTGAGGCGGGCCTGGAGTTCATCAGAGTCATCCTCGGCCTGCTCGTCAAAAACACTGAGCTGCACCCTCAGCTCCTCATTCTCAATGGTCCGAATCTCCTACAGGACCCAGGGAGGAGGGAGACAGGGGGAGGGAGGGAGAGCAAGGGGGGGGAGATAGGAGAGGAAGGGGAAGAGAGAAAGGTTCAATAAAAATCTGAACTTCCCTGAACCTACAGGTAAACATGAGTGTTTGGAATCTGTGTGTGTGTCTGTGTGACTCACCGTCAGCAGGTCCCGTAGGCCCAGTCTCAGTAGTTCTGAGCGGATGTGGATCCTGTAGTCCAGCTCTTCTCCTCGACTGATGAGAGCATTGATGAGCTGCATACAGCCATTCTTCAGGGCGATGTTGGGCTTATTCATACCTGAGAGGAGTGGCTGAAACCTCTCAATGTCCAGCTTTTCCGCCTCCTCAGTGATGGCCTCCAGAACACGCTCATGACTGCAGAGAGCGTTCCATATTAATACACAGAAACGTACACACACAAACACACTCTCGCTCGCTCTCAGACACATTCTCCCGCTCACAGACACACTTCCTCACTCACACACCTAAACGGACACTTACAGGTTGTCAGGGTGTTCCAGGATGCAGATGGCCGAGAGCAGTTTGACCACATCCACCATCATGTGAGGGACCCGGGGGTTGATGGCTCGGACCAGCAGAGGGATGCCCACGGCAGACGTCAACATGGCCTTCAGACCGTACTTGTTGTTCATGAAGGCTTTGAGACAGCGCACAATCTCGTGTTGACACTTCATGCCCATGTTTCTAACCGGAGGAAAGAGAGAGAAAAGGTGTGCTACTGTACATAAGGGGTTTACAAACAAAACAAGTGAGTAGCAAATCTACTGCAGCGGGTAATGGGTTATAGGAATAAGAGGGCTGAGGGGGGTAAAATGGTGTAAGAGGGTGTTGATGTCTTACGTAGGGCCCTATAAAATCCGCCATCTGGAGAACGCGGACGGAATCACGGAATCCAAACATTAAACCGGAATTCAACAATATTCAAAAATGCATTGAACTTCATAGAGAATCAACTATATTTATTGAAAATAAATGTATTTGCCCAAGTTTATCATACGACATGAACAGAATGCACCAGTGATTTGTATTTCCTGCAACGTTCTGAAGAGGCAACGAGAATGCCCCCGTGTGTGTGTGCAGTGCGCGGGTCTACCACTTTGTGTAGCCGTTAGCGATGATGCTAATGAAAAAACGTCTGGTAGATGGAAAGGCTTTCCCAAAAAGCTTCTCAATTAAATGTTAACTACAAAGTAGCCTATGCTTACCTGACAGAATGATATCATGATTATTTGCATCAATCCAGTGGGTATTTGTTGTGCAAACTCTACAATCATATGTGCGCTACAAAAACGCTAAACAACAGTCTCTTGCTAGGTGTGCACTGTAATTAAAGGGTAACTACACCCAAAAATCTAAATTTCTCATAAATTTTCCCAGACCTCAAAAGAAGTCTTCTAATGTGGTTTAAACATTGTTGTGGACTTAGAACGTACAATTTAGTTGTTTTTCTAGAGTGAAAACGCAAACCTGGAAAAACTAAACTGAGAAAAGGAATTTTGGGGAAAAAACTTAATCAGACTAAACTTAACTGATTTTATAGGGCCCTACTTACAGGTCCTCGTCTCTTTCCTCCTGGAGTTGGGGTTAGGGTAAAAGGGTTGAGAAGGTTAAGAGGGAGGTAAAAGGGCTTACGGGTACTCGTCCTTCTCCTCCTGGATTTTCCTCATGATGTTGAGCAGCAGAACCAGGCCCTCGTCTCCAAAGTTCTGCACCCAGCTGACAGGGTTGTTGTTGAGGGAGACCCGGAGTGACTCCAGACAGCCCAGGAGCTGTGCGTCTCTGGGCTCCGTCCTCAGCTCCTGGATGTACATCATGGCTGACTTGGAGCTCTCCTTCTGGTTCTGACCCTATCCCACACACACAAATGGTATTAGTATATTGGGCACATAAGGAGGACTAGTTACCGCTGCTCTAAGTCTACTGTGGATGTTATACAGGTGGGACTGATTGTTATCCCAGTACCTCAACCTTTGTTACTCACGGCTTTGGACGTGTGGAGGTACTGAGACACCATCTCTCGTTTGATGACGATGTCTTTCGCCCGCAGAGGCTGCTGCTTCTCCTCATTCAAGTTCATATCCACCTGGAGAGAGAGAGAGAGGAGGGAGAAAGAGAGGGAGGGAGAGAGAGAGAGAGAGAGAGAGAGAAAGGAGAACAAGCGAGAAAGGGAGAGGAGAGCGAGAAAGGGAGGGGAGAGCGAGAAAGGGAGGGGAGAGCGAGAGAGGGAGGAGAGAGAGAGGGGGAGGAGAGAGAGAGGGAGGAGATAGAGAGAGGGATGGAGGGGAGACCGAGAAAAATACATTTAAGTCAGCATCCCCAAAAGAGACACAAATAGCCTATAGTCCACACTTAGCAGACATTAATTCTCTCTGTTTAAATCTCTCCTCTCACCAGCATCTGTTCGAATAGTTCCAGGACGTATTCGTCAGGGTGGTCATGCAGCATAGCCCCCTGGGCAGGAACCTCGTAGTGGGCAGCGTTGGAGTGGCGCTGCCCGGCTGCATGAGGCTTCTCCTTGTCCTTCTTCATCCTCATGCTGGTGAAACGCTCCAACTGCAGAGGGTCAATAGACAGTGGTTAGAGGTGAGAGGTCACACAGGGAGATATGAGGGTTATTCCAGTTCAACCCCAACCCTGTGGATTGGATAGGTCAGGGCAAAAAGTTTGATTTGGGATTGGGCATCATCAGATTCCAGTGGACGTTCAGACGTCATTAATTACTAAATATCACTCAAACACCTTGAGCTTCATTGCTGTGTGTGCTAGAATAAGATTAAGCAGGATCACAGGGTGATGTCATCATCATCCCAGTTCCCTCCAAAGAGTAGGCTACTTATTGTTGGCCTCTTATGACAATGTCTGTGAAATAGGCTTGGGCGGTATACTGTATATTACCGTATACCGGGGTACTTGGAAATAGCCACCAGATGGTTTTTCAATATCGTCAATACCGTTGAAACTATTTATTTTAAGTTTTTCAATGCATTTTAATATTTGTAGCTACTTTAAGTAAATACCTGCATTCAACTTATGCAATACATTAGGAGATAAAGCAGAATGCGTTCTTCATTTCACCCACCACATTATTTTCCATAATGAAGCTTACCGTGGTTGCCCACGACAGTTGAGCCAGTCACGTGTTTGTTTGTAAATAGCACAACGGGAGAAAGTGGGAGCAGGTGAGTCCAGCTGTGTAGCCTATTGACAGGGCTCGCGTTTTATATTGCTTCAATAGAGTGATCAGGGGCGTGCAACTATAGTTTTCCTTCACATAAAATACGTTAGTGCAACACATTTGGTAGAAAATAGCTTTATTTTCATCAGATGACAAGTGGCTGAATTACTAAGGTGACGGGGCATCACTGCGTTAGCTTTCTGCCGTGTTTGAGAAGTCAAAGCCCTTTGGATTAGTTATTTTAACAGTACTGGCTCTCAATTTTCTTGCGTTTGTTCTCCTCTCCATTCTCTGCCCGTCTGCTCCTCCCCCTTCTCAGATTAGAGCAGGCAGGGTCCATGCTATCCGGGATCCTGGGGGCGTCCCTACCCCATTGACGTTGACATTTAAAAAGTTTAGGGTTAGGTAAGGGTTAAAGTTAGGGAAGGATTATGGTTATGGTTTAGGGTAGGGACATCCCAAGGATTCCCGATAGCACTAACCGAGCAGGCCCATTGCCTTAGCGACTCCAGACTCCACACAGAAACAGCATGCAGGCCTACACATGCAGCTCCAGAGCCAGTACTTTTCTTCCTTCAGACAAGCATGCGTCAAAACACTGTACATTTCCACAATGTCGCTCATTCACATTTGCTTGTAAATGTCCAAAATCACCAAAAATTAAATTTGGTTGCTCCTCCCCGCAGTGCCTTCGGAAAGTATTAAGACCATTTGACCTTTTCCACATTCTGTTACATTACAGCCTTATTCTAAAATGGATTAAACAAAAAAATAATCCTCAGCAATCTACACACAATACCCCAGAATGACAAAGCGAACAGGTTGACGAATTTTTGCAAATGTATTACAAATAAAAAACTAAAATACCTTATTTACATAAGGATTCAGACCCTTTGCTGTGAGACTCGAAATTGAGCTCAGGTGCATCCTGTTTCCGTTGATCATCCTTGAGATGTTTCTACAACTTGATTGGAGTCCACCTTCGGTAAATTCAATTGATTGGACATGATTTGGAAAGGCACAAACCTCTCTATATAAGGTCCCACAGTTGACAGTGCATGTCAGAGCAAAAACCAAGCCATGAGGTCGAAGGATACAGGATTGTGACGGGGAACAGATTTTGGGAAGGGTACCAAAACATTTCTGCATCATTGAAGGTCCAAGAATACAGTGGCCTCTATCATTCTTAAAAATGGAGGCAGCCACTCCTCAGTACAGTATACACTACTCTATACAGTATACACACCAAAAGTATCATTCCAAAATCATGGGCGTTAATAGGCACATGACAGCCCGCTCTGAGTTTGCCAAAGGCACCTAAAGACTCTCAGACCATGAGGAACAAGATTATCTGGTTTTATGAAAACAAGATTGAACTCTTTGGCCTGAATGCCAAGCGTCAAGTCTGGAGGAAACCTGCCACCATCCCTACGGTGAAGCATGGTGGTGGCAGCATCATGTTGTGGGGATGTTTTCAGCGGCAGGGACTGGGAGACTAGTCAGGATCGAGGCAAAGATTAACAGAGCAACGTACAGAGAGATCCTTGATGAAAACCTACCCCAGAGCGCTCAGGACCTCAGACTGGGGCAATGTTCACCTTCCAACATACCACGACCCTAAGCACACAGCCAAGACAATGCAGGAGTGGCTTTGGGACAAGTCTCTGAATGTCCTTGAGAGGCCCAGCCAGAGCCAGGCCTTGAACCCGATTGAACATCTCTGGAGAGCCCTGAAAATAGCTGTGCAGCGACGCTCCCCATCCAACCTGACAGAGCTTGAGAGGATCTGCAGAGAAGAATGGGAGAAACTCCCCAAATACAGGTGTGCCAAGCTTGTAGCGTCATACCCAAGAAGACTCGAGGCTGTAATCGCTGCCAAGGGTGCTTCAACAAAGTACTGAGTAAAGGGTCTGAATACTTATGTAAATGTTATATTTCAGTTTATGTATTTAATAAATTAGCAAACATTTCTAAAAACCTGTTTTTGCTTTGTCATTATGGTGTATTGTGCGTAAATTAAGGGGAAAAAAACAATTTAATACATTTTAGAATAAGGCTGTAAGCTAACAAAATGTGGAAAAGGTGAAGGTGTCTGAATACTTTCCGAATGCAGTGTGTATGTGAGTGTGTGTGTGTGTGTTTGTGTGTATTGATAGATATACAAAATAATACTGTATAATATGTTATTTATTTCTGAGGTCTGAATACTTTCCAAATGCACTCCGGTTCCCCTCTCCACTGGGGTTCTCTGCCTCTAACCCTGTTGCAGGGGCTGAGTCACTGGCTTGCTGGTGCTCTTTCATGCCGTCCCTGGGAGGGGTGCGTCACTTGAGTGGGTTGAGTTACTGACGTGATCTTCCTGTCTGGGTTGGCGCCCCCCCCTTGGTTTGTGCTGTGGTGGAGACCTCTGTGGGCTATACTCGGCCTTGTCTCAGGATTGTAAGTTGGTGGTTGGGGATATCCCTCTAGTGGTGCGGGGGCTGTGCTTTGGCGGAGTGGGTGGGGTTATATCCTTCCTGTTTGGCCCTGTCCGGGGGTTTCTTCGGATGGGGCCACAGTGTCTCCGGACCGCTCCTGTCTCAGCCTCCAGTATTTATGCTGCAGTAGTTTATGTGTCGGGGGGCTGGGGTTAGTTGGTTATACCTGGAGTACTTCTCCTGTCTTATCCAGTGTCCTGTGTGAATTTAAGTATGCTCTCTCTAATTCTCTCGTTCTCTCTTTCTCTCTGAGAACCTGAGCCCTAGGACCATACGTCAGGACTACCGGGCATGATGACACCTTGCTGTCCCCAGTCCGCCTGGCCTTGCTGCTATTCCAGTTTCAACTGTTCTGCCTGCGGCTACGAAACCCCTACCTGTCCCAGACCTGCTGTTTTCAACTCTTAATGATCGGCTATGAAAAGCCAACTGAGAGACCTGAGCCCTAGGACCATACGTTGGGACTACCGGCCGTGGTGACTCCTTGCTGTCCCCAGTCCGCCTGGCCTTGCTGCTATTCCAGTTTAAAACTGTTCTGCCTGCGGTTATGGAACCCCTACCTGTCCCAGACCTGCTGTTTTCAAACTCTTAATGATCGGCTATGAAAAGCCAACTGAGATTTATTCCTGATTATTATTTGACCATGCTTGTCACTTATGAACATTTTTGAACATCTTGGCATGGTTCTGTTATAATCTCCACCCGGCACAGCCAGAAGAGGACTGGCCACCCCTCATAGCCTGGTTCCTCTCTAGGTTTCTTCCTAGGTTTTCGCCTTTCTAGGGAGTTTTTCCTAGCCACCGTGCTTCTACACCTGCATTACTAGCTGTTTGGGGTTTTAGGCTGGGTTTCTGTACAGCACTTCGAGATATTAGCTGATGTAAGAAGGGCTATATAAAATAAAATTGATTGATTGATTGATATACAGTATACACACCAAAAGTATCTGGACACCTGCTCGTTGAACAACTCATTCCAAAATCATGGGCGTTAATATGGAGTTGGTCCCCCCTTTGCTGCTATAACAGCCTCCACTCTTTCCACTAGATGAAAATGTATGCACTCACTAACTGTAAGTTGCTCTGGATAAGAGTGACTAAAATGTAAAATCTAGATGTTGGAACATTGCTGCGGGGACTTGCTTCCATTCAGCCACAAGTGATGTTGGGCGATTAGGCCTGGCTAGCAGTTGGCGTTCCTATTCATCCCAAAGGATGAAAAGAAAAGGGCCTTCCCCAAACTGTTGCCACAAAGTTGGAAGCACAGAACCATCTAGAATGTCATTGTATGCTGTAGCGTTAAGATTTCCCTTCACTGGAACTAAGGGGCCTAGTCCGAACCATGAAAAACAGCCCCAGACCATTATTCCTCCTCCACCAAACTTTACAGTTGGCACTATGCATTGGGGCAGGTAGCTTTCTCCTGGCATCCGCCAAACCCAAATTCGTCCATCAGACTGCCAGATGGTGAAGTGTGATTTATCACTCCAGAGAACACGTTTCCACTGCTCCAGAGTCCAATGGCAGCAAGCTTTACACCACTCCAGCCGGCGCTTGGCAGTGTGCATGGTGATCTTAGGCTTGTGTGCGGCTGCTCGGCCCTGGAAACCCATTTCATGAAGCTCCCGATGAACACTTCTTGTGCCGACGTTGCTTCCAGAGTCAGTTTGGAACTTGGTAGTGAGTGTTGCAACCGAGTACATACGATTTTAACGCGCTTCAGCAGTCCTGTTCTGTGAGCTTGTGTGGCCTACCATTTCGCTGCTGAGCCGTTGTTGCTCCTAGACGTTTCCACTTCACAATAACAGCACATACAGTTGACATTTGATGAACTGACTTGATGGAAAGGTGGCATCCTATGACGATGCCACATTGAAAGTCACTGAGCTCTTCAGTATGGGCCATTCTACTGTCAATGTTTGTCTATGGAGATTGCATGGCTGTGTGCTCAATTTTATACACCTATCAGCAACAGGTGTGGCTGAAATAGAAGGCGTGTCCACATACTTTTGGCCATGCGTGTAACTTCATGAGCTGGATTGCCTGTCTTTGCAATTAGTTAATTTTAATTTGCGCTCTATAGCATATTTACCTAGCAGCCACCATAGAAATTCGCTATTACTTGGGCTAATTTCGTTAGCATTCTGGTAATAGACGCCCAATGGGGCTTTTTTGCCTTATTTGGCGCCCCCCTGTGTGCTAAGCCGGTAATACCGTAAATCCCGCGACGAGAGGACAGTATGACGATTTGAAAATCTGGATACCGCCCAACCCTACTGTGGAGTCTTAACCTTTCTCATTATAGTGTATAGCATTGATTATTGCCTGTGTAGCTGCTTAGCTGCTCTCAGCGCAGAGACACCAGAGAGCACTGGCAAGCTGCAGCACAATAAGACAGCAGCTCTGGGAAGCATGGATGGAACCAACCTCCACCCCAGACCGAACCTGTAGCCTAGGCCTACCCCTCAGACCGATCACTGAGGGGGAGCCAGGGCGGCACAGACGGACAGGCAGGCACCGTCCAACAGTATCTGTCCATACAACCAGGGTGAGTAGTAAAGACAACATGGTTGAGTTATTATGGGGTGTTACTGCAACCAGGCTCATGGGGGTTGTAGTGTGGTATGGATGGATGGGCATGGGTTAGTAGTGGACTACAGGGTGAGATGAGATGCGACAAAGACAGTCAGATGATTATGACTGGGATGTGGGTACACACACAACCTACCTCATCAGGAATCAGCCGTTTGAGTTTCTGTACGGGGGGGGTTGAGAGAACGAGTGAAAGAAAGAAATGGGGAGATTGAACGGGGAAGAGAGAGACAATGAGGGAGACGGGGAGATCGAGGGAGGGATTAAGAGACAGACGGAAGGAGAGAAAGAGAGAGGGAGTGGGGGAGAGAGGAAAGGATCAATTAGGATCAGACAGGGATCGTCTCTACAAAGGTCATTATTAATCATTGATCACAAGAGGACAGAGGGGAATAGGCTACAGGTAGATCAATATCACAATAATAGATCACTTCATTAAACACAGTTACACATTACACACTTGATCAATCAAGAACATACACACCTAGATTAGCTCACTAATTCCTCTGGTATGAAGTTATGGATCTGAAAAATTCTACAAGCAAGGATTTATATTTTTTATTTAGAGATTAGGGGATTTCAGATTTTTGACAGGTTTATGGCAGAATCACACTACAATTGCACATGCACATCTTTGCCACAAGGTGTCAGGCTACACCAATGAATGTCCTGGTGATGGCAGCATCTCAACCGCCAGGTGGTGCTGAAGATCACACAGACTTGCACACAACTACGGAAAGCTTTTGGGTAAGTTCCTCACTTCCTATTTTTGCATTCTACTCTAATTAGGCTACACAACCGCAAAGATAAGCCAGAAATAAGATGCATGATCTCTGTAACTGTGCTTCCAAACTAGCAGACATGACCCATAATGACTGTCCCACACACCAGCATCTGAAGCCAATCAGCAGCCACCTAGAGCCTGAGGGTCACAGGTCAAAGGCCACTGAACAACACAACCAAGGCTCGACATGTTCAACGGCTTTATAAAGTCATCCTTCAGGAGAAGACACAAACAGAGGAGCACACACACGCCTCATCTCTCTGAGCCAGCACTCCTAGATTTTTGTACACTGCAAATTGACCGCAAGAATCACAAAGATAGAGTATTTGATTATCTAAACAATATTGAATGTAAAGGTATTGTTTTGTTATGTCTGGTATAGGCTTTCATTAGGTAAGAAGTCTAATTACAAGGCTCTTTTTCAAAGCGATTTGAGTTGTCAATGTGCTGCTTCTCATTGTAAAAAAAAAAATATATTGTTCTTAATTTCATGAAATTGTTTCCTTTTATCCAAATGTTGAATAGACAGGCAGACTCATTTATGCAGGGCGGGGAATAATAGCCTACTATTCTGGAGTCATAAAAACAATTAAATTAATTATGTTATTTGGCGGGTCACGGATCGGCTCTCGGGAACAATTAATTCTATGCAGGTGGGTTGGTGAGAAAAATATGTCCTGATATCGGGTGTGACTCGGAATGTATGTGGCCGGCGCGGGGCAGGTTCGGCTCCAAAAAAACGGACCAATGCAGGACTCTACTTCAGTGATCAGCTTTCTCTTCAACAGAGAAAGGTTCAATTAGCGAAAGACAGACTCTCTCTCTCTCTCACTCACTCACTCACTCACTCACTCACAAAGGCGGACACACATACACACACAGCTACATGGAAAACAGTGCAAACAGGGACTGGTGTAAGCTGCTGTTGGACTATAATATGGATTCCACAAAAATTCAACACAATTATCTAAGTCACAGTATGGAGTGTCATTACTGCACACCATCTCCACACTTTTCTCTCTCCATCTCTCCCTTCATCTTTCCCTTCCAGTCTCTTGTTCTCTTTCCAATCCTCCTCCTCTCCATCCCTTCTTCACTCTCTCCTCTCAGTCTCTCCATCCATCCTGAGGCAGCCAGCTGATTGGATCTGGGCCTGAGAGAGTGGCAGAGGGTCTGAGGTCCCTGGCTGCATTTTCTTCTTTTTGATTACTTTCTCTCAATTTTTCATCCCTCGTTACGTTCTAGACTTGGGCAGTATCCAGAATGTCATACCGACCTTGTGCCATAACGGGATATTATGTATGTTTTCAAACTCCACTGATACTCTGTAATCCGAAGGTTAGCAATGCTAACAAGCACATGTATAATCCAATAGAGAACGCTAACTAAATGCATTGTGAAGATTTTATACAGTCTGGCCTAAACTATACAAGTACCTCAAAAATGCTACTTTGCAGTTTGTTTGCTGCACGCAGAAAACAAGTATTAGCCAGCAAGGCTCTTGATCCAGGAGGGGATTCTCTGCTGTTACCAAGTGAATGCTTGATTTAGAAAGAATCTAACCACTTAGATAGATAGCTAACTAGCTATTAAATTAGCAAATCAAATGCACAACTGCAGAGCATTTAGCACATTTTAGACAGTTAACTTAATAGTTATAAGATATCTAGCTGGCAAACATTTAGTTGTGAATTCCATACTGTAACTAGATCACCTGGCACATGCTGCACAACAGTGAGTGACTCACAAGGCTCCGGTCTGTTGGTCATTGTGTGCTTGTAAACAAACACCACGTGACTGGGGACTACCAGTAAGCGTCATAATGGAAAATTATGTGACAGGTGAAATAAAGCACGCAATCTTCTTTATCTCCTAACGTATTGCACAAGTTGACTGCAGGTATTTACTTCAAAAGTAGCTACAAATATTCACATTTATTAAAAAACCTTCAAAGAAATAGTTTCAACGGTATTGAAAAACCATCCCGTAGGCTTTTTCCAAATACCCTGGTATACGGTACATACGGTACACCGGCCAAGCCTATTACCTTCTGACAACTTTCACTCAAGTACATTGGGAACACATCCAGATTGGTGTCTGCCATGCCAGCCTGAGCTTTCGACCCTCATCATAGAACTATTAGGTCTGCAGCTAGACTGAATAGGAATCACCTTGTGTTGTGTTGGCCATCTGCTCTGTTCTATTTCTATGGTATTGGGCTGACATTAGCTGGTGCCCTTTCTTAAGAAATACCAGACATGGTATTATGAGTGGGAGTCACCCTACCTCCCTCAAAACCAACACACACTTTGTCAAGTTTTAATAGGCGGCACCCCAGTTATCCAATCTCTATAGGTTAACATCACAAATGAACTCACATGTGGGCTCAACCGCTAAACAGATGTGTATTCAAACACACTCACGGGCACATACACAAACAAAGGCCTACACTGCACATTGTTGTTCACATGATAGATGTTATCACACAGGGAATAGGGTGCCATTTGGGAAGCCGCCACAGGGCTGGTAATGAGACTACCTGTGTAGTGCTGTTCTTCTATACTATGTGATGTGTATGTCCTCTAATGATGTCCTATTCTTATTCATGTTGGAAACAAACATCATGATGTTGTCACAGATGTATTTTCTAAGCTATAACACACACACACAATATTTAAAATAGAGAAGGTTAAAAGGACCAAAGAAAGATGTTTTTTAAAGGACCAAAGCATATGGTCTGCTTCGTGTTTTCATTGTTGGCATGGGAAACATGTTGCGATACTGGGTATCGTCCTGGCCCTAATTCTTATACAGTCATTGTGTTGACCAGGCTAATTGGTCTTTGTCTCCTGCAGTTAACACGGATCCTGATTGCCTCTACAGGGCGGCTTCCGCTAAGGCTACATTGATGACAAGTGCGGGCTCAAACACGCAGATCAGGGTTTCTGTTAGGAAAATTTTGCGCCAGACAACGTAACCGGCAAGGTATGAATTTCCTGGACATTTGAGAAATTTACCAGACATCCATATGCATTGGGTGCGTAACGCATTAGGGTGTCGACCCACGGTGCTCAAAATCCCATCTAGATTATTGTAATTCATTTGAACAGAATAGAAAATAGCCTGTAAAGCTGTATTAAAATAAAGTAGAACGATGCTCTTATACCAACATTAAAGGCTTTATTGAAAAGTAAAACATTGCTCTAGGCAGCCACAAAATGAAGAAATTGTCAAACTGACGTTGGACTGTCAAATTCGATATATACAGTGCCTTGGGAAAGTATTCAGACACCGTGACTTTTTCCACATTATGTTACATTACAACCTTACTCTAAAACTGATTAAATCGTTTTCTGCCCTCATCAATCTACGCACAATACCCCATAATTACAAAACAAAAACTGTTTTTTATACATTTTTGCAAATGTATTAAAAATAAATAAATTGAAATATCACATTAACATAAGTATTCAGACCCTTTACTCAGTACTTTGTTGAAGCACCTTTGGCAGCGATTACAGCCTCAAGTCTTCTTTGGTATGACGCTACAAGCTTGGCACACCTGTATTTGGGGAGTTTCTCCCTTTCTTCTCTGCAGATCCTCTCAAGCACTTTTCAGGTTGGATGGAGAGTTGCTGCACAGCTATTTTCAGGTCTCTCCAGAGACTAACGTAACAAAGTGTGGAAAAAGTCAAGGGGTCTGAATACTTTCCGAAGACACTGTAAATAAACACATTTCGTTAAGGCTGGTTCAAGAGAAAGCTTATTTTACACTGCTCCTGTGAAATGAGGCCCGCGCCATGCATTTATGAAAGCGCTTGTTTGGAAAGCTCACATTATATCTCACTCTTTTTACAGTTCTACTGGATGAAGTTAATACATTATGTTTATTGTAATTTCAACTATTATGGTGTCATGTGTGATATACGTGGCTCATTGATAACTCTGCTTCCTACAATAGGCAGTTGGCTGCCTAGTGATTGCACAATTGTAACTCTCCGATGTGAATAGTTGGCAAAAAAAAAAATAATTTTCCATGTGCTACTGAATAAACTCAACTGAAATGCACCAATTGTGCATGATACACATAATTACTCTACTCTATCAATCCATTCCAAGTCTTTATACTATACATGACACAGGGGTGGTATATGTTGATCTTGCCTAGGGTGCCAGCAGAATTGCTTGGACCAGGCCTGTCGAACACAATAATTTGCCTCTAATTTACTTGAGTTTGCGGTGGACCTTGGGCTGCTTAAAGTGAGCTGCTGCTGTTGGGAAGTCAAAACTGTCCAACTCCTTGGAGTAGCTTGTGATGTGCATCAGCCTCATTACTTTGTCCTCAAGAAGGTGCGATCTTGAAGCTGTCATTACTCCGTTTTGGAGAAAGAATCCCCTCTCGGCAGGCACACTGGAAACTGGGATAATCTTAAATTTTGCCCAGTCGGGGTAGCCTACACTTACCTGAAGTCCCTTATGAGGACCTTGCATCTTTTGCGTGAATACAAATTTAAAAACACACACCCAACACTAATTTCCAAGCAGCTTGAGGATTTATTATCCTACAAAAGTATATTTGCCTTTGAAGTTGGAGCACATCGACTGGTATTTCCATCAATGAATAAAAAGCATTATTTTGCAATGGATTATTATTATTTTTTAAACAATGTGGCCGGCAACAATATATATATATTTTTTAAAATCAGGTTTTCATTTATTTTTGGGGCCAAAAACCGGCATTTACCGGCAAACCGAAACCCTGACACTGCTATTCTAAAAGCAGCTGATGCCATGATGGTGCCATTTAACCCACAAGGCCAGAAACATCCGACTGAGAAAACAGCCACAAAGAACTCTGGGTAATCACACAGGAAACAGTGTGTGTATATATGAGAGCAAGAGAGCGCGAGAGAGGAGAAAATGTCCAAAAGTAAAAAGTGATATTCCCCCACCACACATACAGAGACATAGCCTACACACTGTCAGTCAGGGCAGTAGCTTAACTCTGAGTAATTAGAAAGAGATGAGAAGAACAGGCTGCATTCCTCAGGAGAACTTCACTTCACACGGAGGATCACCACACACACACACACACACACACACACACACACAGGAACACACCACTAAAACAAAAGTGCTGTGTAATTATCCGTCTAAAAAGTACCCTGCTGCACAGGCACTCACCGACAAAACCACACACAGAGTTCCCAAAGGAACATCATTAAACAGGCAGAAAGAAGCACAGAACTAAAGGAGCAGAATAACTGTATTTGGTTCTTGTGGTTCCTAGGAAACTTAGTGAAAGTCAGTATTTAAGCGCTTGGCTTGTGACAAGAACATAATGAGCCAGTCAGCCTCTCTTCATAGCACTGTTACTACTAATGTACAGCTCCCACCCAGAACCATAAGACAGCCCTGTGTGTGTGTGTGTGTGTGTGTGTGTGTGTGTGTGTGTGTGTGTGTGTATGTGAGAGACAGCTATGCTGAGCGAGCACGGGAGGGAGAAAGAAAGCTAGAGAGCAGGTGGAGAGAGAGAAGAAAAAAAGAGCACACACCCATTTATTTATTTATTTTAATAATGATTTTAGAGCCAGTGTTGAGATGTGTTATTACACACACTTGAATTATTACTCTCTTCCCTTTAGAGACAAGCAGAGGTCAGAGTAACGTCACAGTAAGTTGAGTGAATGGACCCAACTTAACTGGCTAGCTGCATGAGTAAGGTTCAATAAATAACACCTTCAATTAATTAATAACCCCGTTACCACACCTGTGATCTCATTCTCTCTCTCTCTGCCTCTCACTCTTTTCTGCCCCGCTCTCTCTTTCTCTCCCTCCTGTACATGGACAGGTCTGACTATTTGGTGTTTCTTTCTGAACAACCAAGTCCACTTTAGATCAGTGATGTTAATGTCTAAACTACTGCTAGTTAAATACCTATTAAGGAGAAAATTAGTATTTTGGGGAAAGAGAGCGAGAGGAGATGGAAAGATGGATAGAGTGGGAGATTGGATGTATTGTTATCTACACTGTGGCTGTTGATATGAGTGCTTGCAGGGTTGCCATGGCTCCCTGGCGGCGGCTGTGCACTGCTGAGCGGTGAGTGATAGTATCACAGGGAGGGGTTCTCTGGAAGGCGACACGCCCGAATGAGTGACACAACACTTCCTGTTCACAGCTACAACAGGAAGTCAGTGCCATACTGAAACCTGACTCACTATCACTACAGAGGGAGATCTAGGAAAACACATGCCGCTTAATTCTAACATACTCCCTCTCACACACCCGTCAAACACACACAGACACACAAACTCCCCCGTCAAACACACACACGTAACCTCCGAGGCAAGTCTCCTGACCTGAGGCCTGGTAAGTGAATACAAAATAAACCTAAACCCCAAGTGTCAACCCATAAAGTCAATTTCCTCACCGTGCATTTCAGACATTCTCACACTTGGTCAAATGGACCACAGACAGTTACGTGTCAAAAGGTGTGATGTGTCCAACTGTCCATGAGAGTGGTGGTGGTGTTTATTAGTGTTGTCACGATAGCAGAATTGACTTCAATACCGATACCAGGTTTAGTATCACGATACGCGATACCGTCATGATACTTGATTCCAAAATGATACCAAAACAATACCACAACAACAAAAAAGGCATATTAGCCAAAGTCACAGAATGGCACTTGATCCAGAGAGATAAACTCAGCCACTGCTCTGTTCAATCGTTGGGCATCTTTTGAGTTCAATATCATTTATTATATTTGAACATTTACGTACATTTCTTAGAGACAGCCATGTATGCATTAATTAATCAAATATACAATCAATTTCACTTTGTTTTTACCAAACTACAAAATAACACAATGGTAATCATAATTTGAAAGGTACATTTCTATTGACAAACTGGGTAAATCAAGATGTAGCCTAGGTCTATTCACAATACAGGTGAATGCATATTATTCAATAGGAGTGTGTGCATGCATTGAGTTATTGATCTTGTTTTAGCTAATTTCATGGCGCTACAGATGAAACAATCCCTTCAATTTAGGACTTATTTTATTGGCAACTGCTAGGAGAACATATTATTGTATTGTACTGATCAACAACATTGGCATAGAAGAAGCAATCGCTTCTTTTATAAAAGTGTGCGCCGTCTCTTTAAGTAATGACTATGTGCAAGGCAGAATGTGGCTGTGGAATCTGACCTTGTGGGTATGGAATATAGTGGAAACCAGACTGGAGGCGAATTAGGTTTTTGGTGACAATCAGCTTTGAAATCAGCATATTTTGCTTTTATGGTTTGCATATTATCACAAAGTACTAGGGTAGTGAACTGATGTTGCTTCAGCTGTAATCTAGCAAGGAAAGTTAGCCTACAATTAAAGGTGGAAGCTACCGGTATCGTCTTGCATTGTAAAAGTGTTCTAGCCTGTATGGACATTGGTTTAGCGAACAGTAATGAACAGCTTCAACATTTCTACATACTGTGTTGCATTATTCAAGCGTGTTAACGTCTGTGCAGCATGAGTGGGGAACTAACAATGCATCCCAGAAAGCTCTAGCAATGCTTGAGTAAGTGGAGCAGGCACTTTGCTCTTCGTGCTACAAAGGGGCTGTGCGGATAGAACGACTTGAGCCTCTCAATCACGTTAGACATTTGACAGAAGCACTGAACGAAACAAAAATTATAGTATCAAATGGTTTAGTTTTTTTGGTGAAAAAGTACAGAAGTTTCGGTATTACTGTGCAACACTAGTGTGCGTTACATGCTGACCACACCGCTCGCGTTACATGCGCTCGCGTTGCAAAATAAATGTACACATACATGTTATTCAACCATTTCATCCCAACTGCTTGTGTGCGTCTGCGTAGCCAGGCGCTAAAATAGAACTTGGTTCTATTTTTTACACTTGACGCGTTGCAAGTCCCGCCTCTCCCATCTCCTCTTTGGTTTTTAGGAGCATATACCCACGTGGGTGATTGAAAGCTGAACTGAGGTCCACACTCCAGTCCAGGTGGTGGTGGTAATACACTTTAAAGTTGGTTTCCAAAGGCCATATAAAGTCCAAAGAAGAAGAATGAAGGAAAAACTAACTAGAAACTAACTAGGTTGACCCTTTTGTCTGTGGATTAATTGTCAGAGTAGAGGACCTTGTGCATTTCAGGTAAAATAACAACCTAATGTTTATATCCCAGAACAAATTAGCTAGCAACAGCAAGCTAGCTAGCTAAATGGCCATGAATGTTTCATGCATTTCGACCTGTCCCCTAATTAATAGAGGTGGTTCAGAGTTTGTTTTGATATTTCAACCTGCACGTCCTGATCACGTCTAGTGTGGATGGAAAAAATCAACATTCGTGCGATGGCGCACGCAGACGCAGGCGCGTGTCCAGTCTAGTCAACATGTTAGGGTGATGTGTGTGCCTTTAAGGCTTAAGGCAGGCAGGTGGTTACTGGTTAGGCCTAAGTGTGTTACACGTGGTTACATTGTGTTCCTTGTCCCTGATGAACACTTGACTGTTTACACATGATCAAACACTCACAGAGATAAACAACTTGACAAAGAGAGAGACAAACATACACACAACTAACACAAAAACAGAATGGTAATGATCATTCACACACAAAACAAATATTTAATAAAAACACTACAAAACACTGACAAAACACACAAATCACAACCAACACTTCTTGGGTGGACGACTGGTTTGGTTGCTACTTTCTCTTGCAATAACATGACACTAATCCTTGTAAATCAACTAAGATATTAACATAAAACCAGCAGTCACTTGGAATGGAATGGTTTGCTTTCCTTAACACCCCTAGGCTAACATACTCCGTCAACACAGAACACACACAAACAAACATACTCACGACCAACCAGCCATGCACCAGCAGCACACTCTAAGCCAGGGATCTAGATTAAGCCGCGGGCCGATTTTTTCGAGCAGATGGTCAGGTGACCAAACAGAAGCCCAAACAGATAATGTTTGACTAAAACATCATTTCAAACCTTGCTTACATTTGTATATGATCACATTATCTCTCTATTACACGTGGAAATACTTTGGAACAGATTTCCCAAATTAAAATCACTTGTAGCTAATTCGCTGGTGTTTGTACAGTCTTTTATGTCCAACAATAACAAATAAAAATAAATTTTAAAAAATCCAGAAAACTTGGGGGGCCAAATAAAATCACCAGTTGGTGAACCCTGCTCGAAGCAGTTCCATGGGTTAGGCCTTTGATTGACAGCTCACAGAAAAAAAAAGCTGTGACAGCTTCATCATACCCATTTCCACCCATGCCACCTCCCTGTCAGTGTG